ACTTTACCGTAATGAAAAGTGGTGATTTTTTAATGTTTATACGAAATTATTTATACCGGGAAAAATATCAGTATCCCGAGATAACAAGTACAAGTAAATCTTCTCGAAAGTTAGCATCCATATTTTTAAACGTGTTAAAACGCAAACCCTTAAATATATCGACTTAAAAACAAAGTGACTTATGCCGCTTTCGAAATAAACGGCGTAGCGTAGCCAATTAGCAGCAATTCGGTATCTCCTCCACCATGAAAAGCACTGAAAAATCATTGTGTCTAACAATATTGATCGCAAACAACGCAACAAACGTCGATGATTTTTTAAAAGTATACAGAACAATTTCTTCAGCGAATTACAATTACTCACAAAATTGAATAATTTAACCTTTTAAAACGCGATAACATTTTTAAAGCTGGATTAAGTGACGCATGCGATACCAGGAATACATACACATACGAGATCTCGTCAGAGAGAGAGAACTCGTCTTCGCCGGAGCACCCAGCGAGCGAAACCAGAATTGCCTCGTTAAGGTCACAGGAATGGGGATGGCGCCGGGCCACCCATTATTCTTGCGGCGTGCTCTTTATAGAGAAAGTTTGTCCGCGGATTCTCGCGATCCGCGGCTCGCGTGATTTTATAAACAATTCCGGGGCGGCGCGAGGCACCCGGTTAGAGACGCCGGCAGCGACGGGAAGAGCGCGGGCGTAGGAGAAGATCGGAGGAGGGGGTGAGTTTTATCCAGGCGTAGTTTACAGTGGATATTACAGCGAGCTGCTCGCGCGGGCGAGCAGTAAACAATTCGAGGCATTTTAATGCGGCCCCCGGCGGCCCGTAAGCAGGACTCGAAACTAACGTGCCTCCGGTACCGGCCCGCCTCTCCTCCGCCGCTCCCTCTTCTTTCGAAACGTAGGAAAGCGCGAATGAAAGGGGAGAGGGGGGAGGAGAGGCCTTATCCCTTAAGGCCTCCGTACGACCATCGAAAAGGCATGCTATAAGGCGGCTTCGATCTCGAACACCCGGGTAAGCCTACTCTCGTTTCTTTATCCCCGGCCTCCTCGTCTAAGGCTCGTCCCATTCTATGCTGCCTCTTCTTCGCCGCCGACGACGACGCCGCGTTCGACCCACCCCCGCAACCCCGCGAACGTCGATGCGAAATCCTTGACAGATTTGCGGGCTACACCTGGTCACGCCTAGCCGACGTTTTCCGCGGATTCTCCCATCTTCGGCGACCACTTCCCCGGGGTACGAAAAATCCGACGGAGTCGAAGTGGTCCGGATGAGGAATCAGCTCTGATATTTTCGAAGTTATGCCAAGGTTATGTCAAGCTGGATTTATTCGGGTACTTCGCAATTTTCGAAACAATGATGACGCAG